GAAGACAGGGCTGCGTCCACACTTCGGAAACATCTTAGTGGATGGCGCCGGTGGATGGAGTTTTGTTTCCCACTGGGTTGGTCAGTGGGAGCTCCTAGTCTTGCTCAGGTTCTCGACTTCCTCGAAGCTCTGGCCAGTGGTGCTTGTATGGACCGCGGCAAAGGTCGAGTAAGCCAGGGATGGGTGTTTTGTCGGCGATGCGTTTTGTTGCGTGGAAGCTTGAGTTGAAGTGTTTGCGGCAATCGCTTGATTGCTCGTTGGTTCGGGTTTGGTCATCCCGGGACAAGTGGCAGAAAGGCCACACGCGTGAAGCCATCCCGCTTTCCCTTCAGATGGTCAAGAATCTGGAGAAAGCTTGCTCTTCTGCCGCAGAGGATGACTTATGGCTAATTTTATGTTTTCTTGCGGGGTGCACGTTGGGCATGAAGTGGGATCCGTGAGTGTTGAGCGTCCCTACTCTGCGCTTGACTTGGACACAGCGTTTATATAGCAGTTCATGCTAGTGTGTGGCGCGAGTGTCATTGCTCGCCGGAAAGCGGGTTACCGCGGTTCTTGCAGGGTCCCTGCAGTTGTTTTGTTCCCACCCTCCCACCCGGGGATGATTGTTCAGCGACCTCAGCTGGATGTTGAAGGTTGTGCGGCAATGCCCTCGGGAGCTTGAGATCTTTGGTAGTTTGCGTTGGAGTGATGCTCAACGGATTGACCTGAGCCTGGCATCTGTGGTGTGTGACAAAGACTGCTTGTATGGATGGTCGTGGCGCTGCAAACAGGATGCTGCGGGTCGAACCGGAGGGAACCGGAGGGGCGAAAAGAGGGATCCGATAGAATCCCTTGTTTGGGTAGGTTGTCTCTCTCTCTTGCTTGACGGGGGAGGTCACGTGTTGCGTACGGGGGGCTCGTCTTTGCTGCGTCGCTTTTGCTAAGTGCTTTTGGTAAGTGGTGGTTTGCGGTGATTGTCGCGTGGCAGTGCGAAGTGGCCGGACAATGAGGCATGTTTATGCTTGAAGCTGTGTGGCTGAAGCACAGTGATCTTTGTTGTGTAGTGCACGAAGTGCACGGAATGACATGTTGCGAGCATTGTGTGCGTGTGTGCGCAGAGTCATGCAGGTTCTCTGTGCGTGTAGCCCAGAAATTTCGAAAAGTTTTGCCCAATCTCGTGCAAGGGCCGTTTTCGCTTGATTGCGTTGTCCTTCTTGTGCCGCTGACAAAGCTGTCGCTGGCGCTCATCTACATCAGAGTGCGTGACGTTGTGTGGAGCTTCGTGGAACCCAGGGCCGACAAAGACGAGTAACAATTTAGGGACTTGCGCATGTAGGCTAGTTGGCAAGTTTGCGTCTTCTCTGCTCTTGCGACCTGAGGTTGTAATTCTATTCTTTGTCTTTGCGGGCCCAGATGGCAAGAGAAGAGTAGAGTAGACAGTGGCGAGTGCGACAAACATGGACTACCCGGACACCTTTGCTGGCCTATCGCTGGCTATTGTCGAGGCCGGAGTAGACCCAGAGTTCTTGCCGCAGCTTGAAGAGCAGGGAGTGCGTAGCGTGAGCGGGGCAATGGGTGCCCTAATGTCAAGCCGACTGCCGCCCGAGCTGTCGACGGCGATCCAGGCAGCGCTGGTATTTGCGCTTGGCCCCGAAAGAGTCCCCGATGCAGCGCGACAGGCTGCAGTGGAGGCACCGCCGACAAAGGTGCGGAGGACGGACCTTCATGTTGCGAGGCCGTCTAGAGCAGGATCCCTTTCCAAAGCCTTGGCGTCTGCCTGCCCAGCCGCACGGCAAGAGACACTCAATCGATTCAACCGGGATTTGTGGGCCCCGAGCAACCAGAAGCCGCAACAGGCTCGATGGAAGACCTGGAGCAAAGTTTGCGAGGCGTGGGGCATTCCGGCTCTTCCATTGACGGTGGATGGCGTGGAGAAGGTTTCCGCATCCCTGAAGGAAGGTGGATATCGCTCAGCCAGGCAATATTTCGCCAGTGCCCGGCGTGAGCATGTTCTCCAGATGAAAGCAGAAGTGCCACCGGAAGTCCTGCTCAAGATGAGGGGTGCCATTCGGTCAATAGAACGTGGGCTTGGCGGTCCTGCGCTCAAGGACGGGTTTCGTGTTGAGGACCTAGTGTTGCCGCTCCCTTCAGACCAAGTTCCTACGGCCAAGAGACAGGCCGTGACAGTTGTTATTTTGGGGTGTTGGTTCTTGATGAGAGAGATCGAGATTGCCGCCGTCCGAAACAAGCATTTCACCGTCGATGTTGAAAGGCAAGAAGTGGCTTTTACCCTGGCATCTAGCAAAACTGACCAGCAGGGCAATTTAGTACAACGGAAACATCAGTGCTATTGCTCATATGTCCCTGCGCACTTGTGCCCGTTTCACACGGCTTTGGCCTTCGAGAAGATTCGCCCAAAGAACCCGGAGGCCCCATTGTTTGTCAGTGCCCATGGAGACGAGCTGACCAAGCAGGAGTCTATTGCGTTGATCCGGAAGGTGCTTGCAGATAGCCACGTTGCACTGCGACGCGCTGGAGCGCCAGGACAGTCCTCTGTTGAGCGCTTTGGGGGCCACGTGCTGCGCGTCTCCGGCGCGCAGTTCCTTGCCAGACGCTTCGTCCCGCTGCCCACCGTCATGCTGCTCGGTAGGTGGGGTAGCCGTAGTGTCGAAAGGTATGTGCAAGAAGCTGCGTTGGAGTGCAGCATTTTTGGAGACGAGCAAGCGGCAATGGGCCGCCCTGTTGGCATGTTGTCGAAGCCGGCAAAGCGTGATGGTGGCTCGGGCACGGCGAAGGACCAAGCAGCCGAGTTCGTCAAGCAATTGGAAATCCTTTCGGCGCAGATCGAAGCCTTGCAGGCCCGACCGTTGTTAGTAGTTGGAAAGAGGGCGCATGCCAGGGACCCACATGAATTGGACAAGCTCCCGATTCAATGGACTACGGCTTGTGGTTGCTGGAGGTATGGTTGCGCTGCTTTCGTGCGAGCTGGAGAGGATCACCCAGCGGTCCGCTGCCGCCGCTGTTTTCCGACATGTGCGCCGGATGCCAGTGACAACAGTGAATCTGAAAACTCAGCGTCTGCGACGTCCTCCGAGTCAAGTTCATCTGGCAGCAAGAGCGAAGGCTGAGAGCTGGCGCCGCCCGTGCGCCCGAGCCTGTAACATAGCGCCGCCCGAGCGCTGGATGTGTGTGAGAGCTTGTGCGCAAAGAAGTTGGAGCGCAGGGTCCCTTTGCGGCTTGTGTGCAAGTTGCAGGTTCTTTGCTTCTGTTCTATAGGTTGAGTTGAGCACCGCCCGTGTGCTATAGATTATTTGGCAGACGTTGGCGCCGCCCGCGCGCTAGAGATATATGCAATTATGATGGACAGCAGGGAAGCATCTATCTGCGTGGGTGCATCTTGGTGGAGGGCTAGTCACTGCGCGCGGAGCTCTGCGACCTTGGTGGAGTTGCGCGTCTGCGTCATGTCCAATGGAAGTGCATGTGGTGGTGTCGTTGTGCGCCGTAGTTTTTGCTTGAGCAAGCGCGTGTAGTAAGGTAAGAGGTAGCTGCAAGTCTGACACAGGTCATGGCCGAGGCGACGCCTGCGTTGATGCAGGGCATGCGCGAGGCCGGCTTGGCCGACAATGTGCAGCAGTACATCATCAGCCGGGATATAAAGTCGATTGAAGTCCTGGCCTCCATTGCCAACAAGGTGGAAGAAGTTGACGAGGTCTTGGTCGAGCCGCTCGCGTCCACCTTTCGCCTCCCCAGTGGCTCCGAGATCAAACTGGGCAAGCTTGAGATTCCTGTCGTCAAAGCCAAGCTTCGTTTTCTATGGCGCAAGTGTCATCAAGAGTGCAACCCTGCAGGCCAGCAGTCAGCGACGTCGTCATTGCCAGTCGCAGCGACCTCTGCTCCAAAGTCGTCAGCCAAAGAGCTTCCAAGCGGGTACTGGCAGCAGCAGGTGGCCAAGTTCGAGGCGGTGAAGATCGGTGTCGAAGCGAGGAAATTTCCCCAGGAGAAACTTTTAGGTGCAGAAGCTGTGATTGCACGAGTCGTTCATGAGATGCGCACCGAGAGCCACACAGCAATTGGTTTGCATGAGATCGTACAGTCAAAGTACTTCGACGCTGCCGGAAACCCCAACCCCCTGAGCGCAGCGAAGAAAAAGAGCAAGTCGCAGGCAGCCATCTTGACTCTCAACGCCGACTACCAGATCGAAACTGAGGGTGAGATGCCGTGGCAACCAAAGAGCGTGCTTGCTTTCATAGATTGCTTGGAGTCCATCCGCCTTCTCATGATCTTAGTGGAGCTGGGGAGTGAGGCTGCTGTCGAGCGGTATTTCGACTGGTTTGAAAAGCAAGTGCGTTCCAGATCACACAAGCTTGAGCAGTTGCGAGTTTATTGGGAAACCACGTCATGGCGAATTGCTCTCGCGCTGAGGGCCAAGCAGACTTTCAAGGCCATCACGGAGGAAATCATCCTCGACAACCAGGCCCTCCAGGACGCTGTTTCGAAGGAGTATGCCCCCGTGGAGAAGTTCGGCCGCGCGCAGCGCCTTCAGTGGGAAGGCAAGGGCAAGGGCAAGGGCAAGACGAAAGCCCGTGGCAGCAAAGGCTCGTGGGACAAGCGCTATGATCGTTATGACCGGTATGATCGTTCTGACTCCTGGAGAACCGGCCCCTATGACTGGGCCCCTCCCAGGAGCGACTTGTACACTGCGCCCGCACCGACTGCAAGAGCTGTAACCCCGGCAACGTCATGTCAGAGTTGTGCCTTTATTTGTGATCGGAGCTTTGAGGTTGATGGATTTTGTTGATGTGTGGGCATCATTGCATGCGTGGTGATGGTGGTTGTTAGTTGCTTGAGAGTTGAAGACAGACGTTGGATCAGGTTGCTATTGCTGGCCTTGCCTTCTTTGCGTTGTCATGTCCGCTTGGCCGTTGATGCTGCGCAACGCTGGTGTGCCTGATGCGCTGGCTGATGTTGTTGCGGCGAAGTATGTCACAAGTCAACTTTTCTTTCATGCGTTTCGGAGTTTGGAAAAGCTGGATGCTTATGCCCACGCTGCTCTGGTTGCGGCCAAGTTCGCCTTGAGAGCAGTGTGGTGTGAATTGAAGGACTGCAAAACTCCTTCGTCTGGTTCTCAGAGTGTGGCTGAGTCATCTCAGCAGTTGGCGTTGCCTTTCTTACAACTTTCCTCACGCATGTCGGCTGGTGACCGGCATCAGTTGGTTGAGAAGTTCGAGAAGAATTATCCTGGTGTGTTTATCTCTGACATGACGTTGCCGGGGTTACAGCTCTTGCAGTCGGTGCGGGCGCAGTGTACAAGTCGCTCCTGGGAGTGGATCTCCTGGAGGAAGATCCTCAGCGAGGATGCCATTCAGCGCATGCGAGAAAAGAAAAAGTCAGCCAAGCCGAAAGATGCTTGGGAATATCTGGCTATGAGCAATGGCTGGGAAGCAGAAGAGGTTGAAGACGATGGTGCGTCTCCTTTTCGAGTGGAAAAATTGCTTGGAGTGCGCGCCAATGCCTATGTTCTTTGCGGTTGCGGGCACCCCTACAGCTGGGCGCAATACAATGCGCAGTTTATGGCCCTTTACACAGAGCCGCCTGCTGAAGGTTATCGGCTTCCAACCGTAAAGGAGGCTGAGGAGGCAGATCGGCAAGTGATGGGTGATGTGTTCAAGCTGCTGTACAAGGGGGAGCAGCCTGATGATGCTTTGCAGACAGTTGTGAAGGAGCGGACTGCCTTCGTCGCCTTCTCTTTTGCCCGCCGAAAGGCAACAAAGGGGGTAGGCAAGGGCAAGGATAGAGACTTCACGGGGAAGCCAAATCCTAAGAGGCCTCCCTTGCGGCGTCGTGTGAATGCGGGTGACAGTGTGCCGGAGAAGAGGTTGAAGCGCTCTTTGTGTGACGCCTTCCAGAAGCACAAGTGCAAGTTTTCAGCTGAGGATTGCAGATTCGCTCATCGCTGTCAGCTTTGTTGGAGGGAGGATCACGGTGCTGATTTTTGCTCTGGGAAGTAGGAGTGACTATCTGGTGGTTTGAATGTTGACTCCTCGGGTGCATTGCCTACTGCTTGTGCCGAAGTTGTGAAGGAGTCCTTTGAGTCAGCCTCTTTGCTGGCTGGTTCTCTTGAATCTTCGGCTGTTGATGTGGGGCATTTGAGGAGGAGTAATTCATCTTTGTCAGCTTGCTGTCCACAAACGAATGCTTGTGTGAACCTGCGCTCGCGGATCCCTATTGTTGATGGTGGGGGCTGCCTGTCTACGGCTGATTGGAGTGTACCCCGCGAAAGGGAGGATCACTTTTCTGCCTTGCGAAAAAGGTTTGGCCATTTAGCCTCCGAGTGGGGTCTTCTGAAAAGGCTGAGCGCTCATGTTGAGAATCGCTGCGAAGAGTCTCTGTTCACTCCAGATGAGGTCGAGGTGTTGCGCAGTGAGGTTTTGTCATTTCTTTCCAGCAAGGGTTTTGTCTGCGACGACAGCGTTGTGGACAACCAGCCCTTTCTGTTAAGTGTTTGGCAAGCGCTGTGTGCCTTGACGTCTGATCAGGATGTCGAACTTCCTAGACTTCTGCTGGAAGGCGTTTCCACTGGGATTGTGCAACCGATCCCTCCTTCAGGTGTATGGGAAGAGGTCGCGGAACCTGTCGCCGTTGAGCAGGATTTGCGGGTGCATCTGGAGCCGTGGCGCAGCTTCCGATAATTTGGCTTTGGCAAAAAAGCTTGTCATGGATGATGTTGCCGCCGGCCACGCGTTTGTTCTTCCTGGAGGGGAAGCAGAAGCTCGTGCGAGATGGGGAGATCGTATTGCTGCTGGCAAATTTGGTGTAGTTCAGGTGCCTGGCAAGAACCCGCGACTTATTGGGGACGGGTCCGTCAGTGGTGCCAACGCGGCTAGCCAAGTCCTTGAGAAGGTACGAAATCCTTCGTTGCACGCCGTGCAACGATTCTTGTCTTGCGTTGACCGTGCTATGAGCTGGTGCCTCTGCAGTTTTGACGTGAAGGGAGCGCGCAAGTTGGTGCTTGTGAGAGAGTATGAGCAGGGGTACTCTTGTTTTGTGCTGGATGGTGTTTGGTATTGCTATCGGAGTTGCTACTTTGGATGTAAGTGGGCTGCGTTTTGGTTCAGTCTTGTTGGTGCTTGGTTGGTGAGGATGCTTCATCGCGTCATTTGGGTGAAGCACGGGTTATTTTTGTTTGTGGATGATGGGCTGGAGTTTTTGCCTACTGCCGTGGCACCACTTCTGGCGCTTCATTCTCTAATGTTTCTTTGTGGGATTGGCGTGCCTCTGAGCTGGGGCAAGTTGCGCTTTGGTCAGTGCTTGGTGTGGATTGGCTGGAAGTTCCACGCAGATACATGCCAAGCCAGTTTAGCGGACAAGGTGGCCAAGGCTCTCGAAGCGCTACGTCCTTTGCTCCACAAGGGCAACAAGGTGGAACGCAGACAGGTCGAGAAGGTGGTGGGATTTCTTGGCTGGTTCTGCGGCGGGGCCTTTTGGCTGCGTGCCTGGTTGGCAGCCCTTTACAAGCTGTTGCATAAGCCGCGGGCGGGCAGGCTAGGTGAACAGCCTTCGTTCTTGCGTCACTACAGTGAGCATGTTTGGAAACATGTATCTTGCTTTGTTGGCTCAAGTGTACTCGAGCCAAAATGTGAGACTCTGTGTGCCAGAGTCTAGTGTGCCTAGGCAAGTTTCTTTTGCCCCGCCCTCCTCTCCCTGGACTTGAAGTTTTTATTGTCCTCGTTAACACTCCTGTGGACTCTGTGGGTCATTCAAGGAGGGTTTACTCACGGTGTGAGCGACTGCCCTCCGCATTTTTGGCGGTTGTGGTAGAGGCACTGGGTGCCGCTGTGGGCTGTGGGAGGTGTTGTCCCCCATCATGCCCATGAGCATTCGCTGTGTGCAGCGCGCCGCTGGGCGGCCCCTGAGATCAGGGACATCCAACGCACTATGAGGGAACCCCTCATGAACCGAGTAGCGCCCCTACATGTTCATGGAGTGAGTGCACAGAACGTAGATTGCTATGTGTGGACGACTTCTTTTCGCTGGTTCAGGTACTGGGACAGGATTTGCGGGTTTCGCAGTCTTTGCTCTTTTGCGATGTTTGCGCTGGCTGGAAGCTTCATTCGGTTAACAATGCGGTGATCACTTCTTTGCAGTCAACAGCTCTTGTCTCACCGCGGATACGTCGTGGATGCGTTAGTGTGGTATTGTACAACTACGGTTGCTCGACCTGTCTGGTGGATTCTCAGTCAGTCAGGGCAGCTACTTTGTTTTACAACGCCATTTCGGTAAGCACGTTTATTCCGCTCCAATTTGCCCCACACATTCATCGGGCTTGGCCGCGGCTGACGCCTGGGCGGACGCTGAGCGTGCTGGCCTGGGAGGTTGGTGGTTGCCGGATGGCGCCCCAGTGGATGCGGCGGAGATCCATTGGTTCAGCGTACAGCTGACCAGGAAATCACTTCCTTCCTGGTTTCGCGCGGAGAGCAACACTTCGCTTCAAGCCTGTGATGCGGCCTTGGAAGCAGTTGCGCAACTGATTCTTCTGGTGCTGCGTCGCAGGCGTGCTCGATTGCCTTCTTCCACCGTGACAGTGCAATTTCGCCAGCTTTGTGACAATGCTGGCGTTACTGCTGCTTCGGTAAAGTCGATGAGCCAGAAGGAGCCCTTGTGTTTTGTTCTCCAGGCACTGGGGTATTATTGTTGCAAGTGGAACCTCACACTGCATTTCTCGCATATTGCTGGAGAACGAAATGTTTGGGCGGATCGGCTCAGCCGTGATGAGATCCCAGCTGGTGCTGATTTGCGTAAACGGTATTCCGTGGATATCATGGAAATATTGCAGTCGCCTTGGAAGTGAGCGCATTGTTCAGAGATCTGAACCCGTTGGTTGGGAAGCTTGTCACACCTGAAGTTGGGAGAAGCGATTGGGCTGCGGCCCCTTTCTTGTGTGCAAGCTTATTGAAAAGAGGCGTGCAGTCTGTGTGTGTTGGTATGCCTGCGTACAGCGTCAGCTTGCGCATGCACCATACACTCACAACTGCAGCCGTTTTTATTGCAGAAATTGCTGCAGTAGTCGCATATTTCTGCGCCCGCCCAGCCCGCCCTGAGTGGCATTTACCGGTGCCCCAAGTGGCTTTCCTGTAAGGGAGCGGTGATTGGGAGAAGCGATTGGGCTGCGGCCCCTTTCTTGTGTGCAAGCTCATTGAAAAGAGGCGTGCAGTCTGTGTGTGTTGGGTAGGTGGGCTAGTTGAGCGCGTGCCACTCAACGTCGGCTGCGCGTAAACGCTTGCCATTGCTTGAGCTGCGTGAAACTTTCCTGTGATTGTTCTTGATTCGATTCGTCAGTTTGCGCCCGCCCGCCCTCCCTGGGTTGCGGCTGCCGCCGAAAGCGAAGAGTGGATTCAAGTGCGGCTTTCTTTTGGGAGCCTAGCCCAGAAGCAGCGGTGTGGCTGAGTGCATTTCTCCTGCGTAGGGGTTAACCCCGGCGCCTTGCGTGTGCAACATGCTTGGCGTCCAAACATCTTCCCTAAACCACTTCCCAGGGTTGTTCTGGTTGGTTTGGGTCTACAGGCCAGCTCGTCTGTGTCGGGGGTGCCGGCTCGGGTTGGGTTTGGCAGTGCGCCCGGCTCTCGCTTGCGCGTGCTGCAAGTTTTGCTGCGCCCCATCTGCCACCCCCAGTGCGCCCATGCTGATACAGGAAATGATTGTCTTGTAGTTGTTGTTGCCGCTGCTGCTACTGTTGGACATGTTATGCCAACATGTTTGCTTCATTCCCACACCGTGAGAAAAAGAGCGATCGCTGTCATTCCCCGATGCTGGAGCGTTTTCTGTTTTGACTGCCTGCGTCAACGACAGTCTGGCGTGCGCAGCAACGCCCCGCTTTGATTCACGATTGACAGGTAAATGTGCGTTGCGTTCTCTGGTAGTTTGGTGTTTGGCCTTCAGTGCTGTGCTCATGTTTGTGCTTTGGGCTTTGAATCTTATGCTTGCAGTAGCAGTGTGTGCTGCTGTGTAGGATGTCAGAGCAATCTTGTGCACGGTGATGTCTCCCAAGTTGGCAGCAAGTGAAAGGCCGGCGCCCGATGTAGCCGCGGATCCTATTCATCGGATTGATATCCAGCTTGAAGAAGGTCCTAGGTCCTACGTGTATTGGCGCAGTTGTGGCCCGCCACATAGCGGCCGTGTCGGGGCCAAAATAGTACTTAGCTATAATGCGCAAGGAACCGACGACCCAGCTCTTCAGGCGCTGGCGTGGGAGGAGAGCAAGGCGAGGACCTGTCCCTTCATCAAGAGACGCAACCTGTTGAGCGTGTCACATTGTTCAGGCAGATATGCGTCACGCAGCTGGGCTTGCAGAAGAGGCTGTCCGTCTTCGAGAAAAGACTTCCGCTGCTGTGGCAGCGGGAAAAGCGTTGTGGTGAGATTCTGCCCGCTTTTCCATTGCGGCAGCTGACCTTAGGAGCTGACCCTAGGCGCTTGGCAGTGCAGTGCTTGCTGAAGGTTGCGAGTGCACGGGCTACGTAAAGGTGCCGTGTGGCCTGACTTCTCATGACCAAGCAGTGATTCGAACAACTGCGTCAATGGCTACAATGAGCTGCGCTTTCGTGGTAAAGCTGACAACTTGCGTGCGCAGGTCAGTGCGTGTAGGGCACCGGAGGGCCGGCGTAGTGGGGGCGCGTGCAATACAATCGCTTGCGGTTGTGGATGTGAGCTCATTCTAGCTCTGCGCAACATAGGTTCCCGGTGCATCTGCGCAGAGCTTCAGTTCTTGAGCGCGCGCACGCCTCCTTTTGTGGTGTGGTTGCGCTGTTGCTACACGCGACAGCGGCCCTCTCTATCTCGCACGCGCGCCTTGTGTGTAGTTGTGTGTGAAGAGCTGTCCAGCAGTCCGATCTTGGTTGGGGGTTGTCCGTGTTGGGCTGCTCTTGTGCAGCCAGTTGTCTTTGTTTCCCACCCGCCCGCCCTAAAAGTGGGTTGGGATGCCTGGAGGCTTTTTTGGTTCTTTGCACTCGGGTGC